TTTTTTTTTTTAAAAAAAAAAAAAACAAGAGGTTAGGTAGATGATGATGAAGAATTTCTACGACGTCTTCGAGAATTAATCATATAAGCCCAAGCCTCCAGTTCATCATTAACCTCAAAAGGTTCGCAAGAATGAATCCCCACATCTTTTAAATTACGTTGATGAGATTTAAATAGTGGAGATACCATATTAAAATCTAAATTATAACATTCCGAAATTTCTAATTTTTCTAATTTTGTACAAGATTTTAAAGCGTCCCATTTACAGCATTCATCAAAATCGACACCACGAAATTTAATATGTTTTAAAGTACGTTTTTGTTTTGCTAATGAAGGAATTATAACGCCAATGAATGCTTTACAACGAGAAAATACTATTTGTTTTAATCCTCTTTGAGATTCTATGAGTATACTTAATTTTTTTGCATTATGAATTGATGTATCATCATAGGCGCTTAAATTGTTAATTCTGAGTGAATGCTATAAAATAAATAAAAAAAAAAAGAATAAAGATTATATAATTAGTTAAATATTTAATTATTTTAAAATATGCATATATATATGTTAACTTTTTTTTTTTTCATTAACTTACGAGATTTCTACAATTTTTTGCTAATACAGTTAGAAGATTATCCTTAGGAAAGTAACAACTAATTGTAAGGTGTTTAACAGGTCTAATTAAAGTGGAAACTTCTGGACTTGCTAATAACATGAATTTATCGTCATCTAATCCTGCACTACGAATAGTGAGAGACGAAAGAGATGCTGACCGGTCAGCAAAAAGTCTCAAAAGTGACCTTAAAATAGCGACAACATATTGATCACTTGTATCATCCAAAAGGCTACACCATGACCTTACGAACAAAATCATCTGATAATAGTCTAAATTTTTTAAAAAGTTGGGATAATCAAAGATTGGAGTATCCGATTTATTAAAAGGTAAATAAATTCCATCTTCAAGAAGATCTTGCCGTTCTTCATTATTGAGACAATTAAGTAAAATTTGAACAAGAGCCTTTCCACCTCTTTTATGACAACGATGAAAAGGATTACTCCATAAAATAGAAACGGCGCTTTCACACCAACGTCTATTAACTAAAAGACAAGCATGTAAACTACGAAATGTTCTTGAACCAACTATCTCGTCTCGGTCATCAAGGTATTTAAAAATTTCACAAAGTACGTCTGGTATCAACATTTAATAATATTTTTCTTTATTTACAATATTTGAGGAAGAATAAGATAAACTGAGGAGTGGTGATATAAAAAATTTGGATTGTTTTCGGAATATAATTGTAGGAAAATTCATTTATTAGGTTTATTATTAACGCCTTATCTATAATCCGAGAAAAGAGGAAAAAAATTTTTTTTTTTTTTTTTTTATAAAATATTACATATCAAAGAATAGTGGATCATCAACGCATATACCTATTTTAAACAAAGACACCTAAATGAGAATTAGATCCCCAGCCCGCGCACAATTTTATGCGGGGAAAAGAAAAAGTCAGGTGGTCATTGTAAATATAACATATTAATGCAGAATCAATAATAATTGATAATGGGCGTTGAACAAATTCATCAAATTAGTTTATTGTATTATTCTTTTTTTAAAAAAAAATGTCAAAACTGATAGTCTTACCAAATTACATGTAAAAAGTAATGAATGAAAGAAATATAAAATAATTATTATATTATAATAAAAATAATATGCAAAAAAAAAAATAGATAAGAAAAAATTAGCCCCTGCAGAAATTTTCCAACCATAAAAGAAAAAATTCTTTGTCAACTGTCAATTACTTTTTGACAGTTTGAATAAATGATAGGTTGAGAAAGAATATTTAAACAAGGAAATAATGCGGGGGTATAAACAAAACATTATTCGTAAGCAGAAAGTATACTGATGTCAAATAATCCATATATATAAATATAAGTTACGTCATATAAGTCATAGAATTTTTTTTTTTTTTTTTCAAAAGTTGCTTTCATTGAAAAAAAAAAAATTAATAATTCGAAAAATAGGTCTCAATTCAATAAAAAAAGAAATACGTAGCACCGCGTTTGTATTTCCGAAACACATAATCAAAATCAACCCAAATCCGGGATCGCCATTATTCCAATTTTTGACAAACAGTCGTATCATTACTAAATTCGGTAATTTGGATTGGCTTTAAAATAAATAATTTATATTTATTTTATTTTTTATTTATTTATGTTATTTACAGGTTAAATTAAAAACATTTAATAACACCATAACAAGTTTTTTTTTAATACTTATTTGGTTTTTAATCATATGAAATTGTTTAAAAAAAAATTTTAAAGTTTCGTATAATTAACTGCGCATTTAGGCGTTATCACCTTATTTTGCCTTACATTTTTTTTTTCTTTCCAATGTGCATAATTTTTTTTTTTTTTTTGAAAAATAAAACTTTTTGTGTTGTTATTTATAATGTTTCGCAATTTTCTAAATGTAAATTCTTCGTGTAACTTCCTTCTTTGTAAAAACTGATCGTGGAGCTTTTATATTATATAATCTCGTTTTGTAATTTTGTTTATTTATTATTTATAAACAAAGATCATTATAAAGTATTTAAAGTATTAATTTTAATTTATTACTGCACTGTTTATACAAAAATGATAAATAAATGCTATTTAAAAAAGATGATTTATTATGCTGTATATAAAATGATCCGATAAATCCCATAAATTATTATGATGATTTCTTTCCAGTATAGTTTTCTGCAACTTTACATCATTTAAATGTTGAAATTTACGTTGTTTAGACGCGGATTCGAACAATGAAAAATATCTATTTTCGTAAATTTCTTTGATCTACAAATGAAGTGTGAGAAATTTGGGGATTTCTTTTTTTTTTCTTTTTGTCTTTCTTTCTTTCATTAATGTGTCAAATGTTGATGCATTATATCATCTGTAAACGTGTGTTTATGTCTTTAATAATTCATTTTAATGATTTCTATGAGTTTAGACCGGAAATCGATTGGATAAATATTCAAATTTCAAGTTTTTAAACCCGATTATTGATTGTTCAATCTAAAAATAGATTACATATTTTTGTAATATTATTATAATATCAATTTATAACGATAAAATTGTATATTTCATTAAATGACATAAAAAGTTAATTCTTATGTTGAGAGATTTGGTCATCTTGCAATTATCGTAAGTTGATTCTGTAAATAGAATATTAATATTTGAAATAAATTATATATAAAAGGACAATTAATTTTTAGATTTAAAAAGCAGACTGTCACATAATATGAAACATAAATCATACCTGTAATTTTTTTTTAAAAAAGAAAATCACGGAATCACTGCGCCACGTAGAGTTTTTTTTGGCGTACTTTTTTTAAGCTGTGACTCGTCTATATTCTATATTTTATAGTAGTAATACGCTTTACCTTATTATAATCCTTTAATAAACTTACAATAAAAATCAAAATCTTTTCAATGTTTCAAAGTTGATATCACCCAGCCTATAGCAAAAAAAATTTTGGGCAATCCTTCCGTTATACGGTATTATCATAGATTATCATTTTTTATTAATTAAAATGTTCAATAACAATATTACAAAAGTAATTATAAATTATAAAATTTGACTATAAAAACTAAACATATTTAGCAATTTATTATAACCTATCATTCCTAATTTCCTATCATTTTTAAATTCCAACAAATTTCAAAATTAAATATTAATGGGCAGATTATCTACATTTCCAGATCTATTGAGCAACTTGCATTCGGCTCCTTCAGGTGATATGTAATCTTCAGAATTAAGACTATAGAATGAATTAAATAGATGACCCTTACCCTCGTTCAACGTGTCGTTAATAAAAACATTTCCTTCAATACGATTACCAGCTGTTTCATTAAGAACACCCAACATCGCAACTGGATCTCTTTTATTTACGTAATGTTCAATGTGACCAACCAAGCCATTTGGATTTATGAAATCTCTACATACATTTGCGAATGTATATACTTCAAGTTTATTAAGATAATTTTGTTCATTCGTATAACTTAACTCCGTAAAAAGTTTCCTTACAGTTAAATATGCAATAATAGTTCCTTGAGAATGTGCAACTAACCGAACAACTTTAACATTTTCATTCCTAAGTTCTCTAAGAATGTTACATGTAGCCCAATGTACCGGTATGGTTTCAAAATTAAAACTTCTCTCGAGAACCGCTTCTACAAAGTCCCAAAAAATACCGTAACTTCTATTAAGAATACCTGTAACTCCTATCCCGAAACGTTCCTCTAAATATTTGCAATTCTGATCTAACCATTCTTCGTTTACTGTTACTCCATTAATAAAAAACCATTTCTCATCATCCTTAGTTTGTTCTTTTGGTGGACGAATTTTCTCTTGTTCAAAAGCTGATAACATCAAAAGAGGGTAGAAAATAACAAGTGGAATCGTGGCAAGAGTCCATACAGCTAGTTGTATTATACTGATCCAATTTTTCCAATACGAAAGATTAATTTCGCATGTTGCCTCATCATTATGAACTTTTTCAAAGCGCATTGCACCGATTGAATTGCGATACAAGAACTCGACAATGACGTCATACGGATGAGAAAGGACCCAATAAATATCATCTTTCATTAACTTCCAGGGGTTCCAAACTCGAGGTCTATTATTAGACAAGGGCCAAAGGTTTCTCAAAGATGAATTAAAAGAATTCGAATTTGCCATCTTTGATAAAATTAAAATTTTGGGATAGATTAAACGATTCCATCAAGAATTTTTTTTCAACTTTATATACTTAACATCATAATCGGAGTAAGAATCCCGGAAATGTGTACATAAATCTTTTTTTAGAGTTGTAAGGGATTGTGATTAATTTTTATTTGTGATCAACTGATTAAATATTTGGAAACTCGGAAAACGGACAATTACTTTTTTTAAATATCATTTAATAAATGTTATCAATCAAGTAATCAAGTATCTTTTTATTACTCAATGAAATCTATTTTATCTGATATTTATATAATGTGAGCATTAACCGATATTGTTTATAATATAATTTCTTATTATCCCATTATATTAATTGCACGACAGTCCGCAGTTATACATAGATATTGTTTCTTCGATTTGTTTTTATATTATTAATATAATTTTTTATTTTTTATTTTTTTTATTTTTGAAACCTTCTTTTTAAAAAAAGGAAATTCAAAAATTCGGACCGCTCAACTATATAACTAAAGATTTAAATATGGTAAATAGTAATTACGATTCTAATTAATCACTAAACTCTTTTTAAGTTATTATACTGAATGAATTCGATCTTAATTCTATATTTCTGTTTACGGTAATCCTTCAAATCTGAAAATCCAAACTCGGTAAATTTTGATTTTCTGAATTAATGAATTGGCGTACATGGCCAACGATTTTTGATTAGTATTATTCTGGATATACTAACTGGGATATTAATTGCCCCCCAAAAAACATTAGTATTAGACTATTAAGAACTAATTTGTTGGATCTTTCTCCAAGATAGTAAGATAATTTCGCTTATCATTCATCCCTTCATCAACATAACCTTTACAACATGCCTTTATTATAATAAATGTATATAAATCTTCAACGTATTTAATAATTCGTTGGTTAAATGTACCAACCATATTTAAAAATTGTACAATAAATATATCGAAGAAATTTTAAACACTATAATTTTAATAATAAATTTATTTATTTGCCAACGCAGAATAAGTATCATAGAAAAATTTTAATGTGATATTAGTAATATAAAAACATTTTTTTAAGTTGAAGTGAAACATATAAAAGCACAAGCTGTAAGGTGATTATACTATAAAACCTTTATGTAATAATGTAATATAAAATTTCATTTAAGTCACGTGATGATCGTTCGTGGAAAATCAAAGGTTATGCTAGACAAGTTGATATAATTTGATACGACCTTGTTAATGACCCAAAACTAAACTACGTTCCAAATCCAACTTAGAACGATCCTATAACCCAAACCTGATCATACTACAACTTATTTAAGCTACAAGAGCCCTTACACAGATTAACCCATCCCCGGTAAAAATTTATTCTGATAATTAAATAATAATCCATTCATATTAATCGCTCATAATGAAGTTGTTGATAGCAAGAGACTTTGGAATTCTTCAATAAATAACATAAATAATATGTATCTGGTGTAATATAACAATATTTTATTATAGACTTACAGTTGTATAAGCATTCTATATGAGGTAAATTTGAAATAATTCTATCATATTATCATACAATTATAAAGTATGCCTTATATTGCATTAAAAATATAAAGTAATTTGTTTAAACCCTATAATAACCTTTGCTCAATTATTTCCAGCGGAACTATATGTTTAAAAGCCAATAATACCTTTTTGCCCAATTACCACAAGGAGGGATCGATTTTTTCGGATGAGAAAAACGCGCAATCGCTTTGGCCAAGTTATTGGAGAAATGACCTTTAGCCCAATTGTTGGTGGCCAGTTATGGCGGAATAAGTGCTTGTGTATGAAACTCGATGTGATGAAGTTCGTTCTGACAATGATAATAATATTACTATGTCAGCTTGATGTGTAATTCAAAAATCACACATCAATACAGCATTAACAACACGTACTGTATTTTTTTTTGTTTCAGCTTTGAAGGAAGAAAATAGTTAATATAAAAAATAGCATGTCTTTAATTATATTAGTGCTTGTGTACATACCGAAGATAGTATAAAAAGAGTAGGAAATGATACGCGTCAACTTAATGGTCGCGCTTGCCGAGATATACCACAGCATCTTTCTTCGAAATTACTATTACTACGAGATATATCATATACATTATTTCACAATCTCATCTCGAGTAATTTTTTCTCGCATACGGATTTTTCGCAAATCCTTTTGAATTAAATTATCATGAGTTTGAACATAAAGCAAATGCTAAATTGCTCCATCGCAGTTATAATTATCCTTTCTATGGTGGAAGACACATGCTACACAAATATTCTCTCCTGGCGAATTATGGAGATATCAGTCATATTCTCATAATTTGAATTCTAATGAAAAGCGTTATAGATTAAATCCAAGGGATATAGGTCGTTTATTACAAGTAAAAACGTTGTTATTATCCATTTTTGTGTATAAATACATAACTGACAATAAGTTTATATTAAGAAAAACTAAATTATTTTTTTGTACAGTGGGTTGTAACAGCAAGATCCCGATAAAAGAGAAATCTAAAATGTAAGATCGAAGAATCTCTTCTAGAGTGAACGATCACGAACTAGGAGCTTTTTCGGTTATAAGGCTTTTACTATTTTCTAAAAATCATAAGCCATGATTTGATTATCTTATTCCCGATCCGTCAATCAATCGTCATATGATAACTTATAATTTACTGATTAGATCTTTGCTGCTCGATATCAAAATTTATTAATTTTTATTGTAGAAGTTGACTCGTACAAAAGTTCTTAATTAACTTTGGGATGTCAGTTGGAGAATATTGACAGTTGAGACTTGGAGTATACGGATGGCCTGAGCTTGAATACAGTAAATTGACCATCAACTGGCCATTAAAATAAGACAATTTCGTAATGCCAGGTATAGTATTCTATATCGCAATTTATCACCAACTCCACAAATATTTGATTAAAAATAATGGTCTTTTTCTACATTCATCTTTGTTCTTTGTCTATTTTTATTTTCAATTTTCATATTAAATTTAGGTAAATTACTTGTGAATGATAAGAGTCAACGGTAGTTTTTAGTCTCTCCGGAGTCAAGAAATTGCCATCCACGAACATCAATATAACACATTGATTTTTGTTTTGGGATTGTGTTTTAAAGACTGCATCGGATGATGATTCAAGTAACTTTGTTAATATTTGTGGACCAGTTGATATGTATATCTATGAGAAGAATCATGTTTTGTAAAAACTAAATTGTATATGCTAATCATTTGGATCACTTGCCAAACGTGCCGTAAAGAGACTATTAGGATAAGTTTTTGCTAAGGGGTTTCTTTCAAGTATAATGATGGTAGATTGGTTTTTGGATCAATATAGTAAAAACTCATGGTAATGTTATTTTGTTAGAAAGAGTCTCAAATTCTCTTTTTTATTTAAGCTACATAATTGTTTTACAATAGGTTTATCTTCTGTCGAATCATTGATGTGGCTATATATTTTTACAGAACAAATTAAATCATTTGGAATTTTGGAAAAAGTAAGATATACAGTATCTTAATGTCAAAGTATAATGAATATAGTAAAATTCAAATCCAGAATCTCCCAAAGGTACGCTCTTTTATCTTTAATTATTATATTGCCATATAGAGTATTTAATACAAACTTCTTTTAAAATCGGTAAGCAAGTTATCTTCTGATCATTGGAATGACAATAATCTTATGTCTATTTTAGCTTCTTGCCAGATGACCTTAATATTGGTAGAACAGGTCATGTTAGGTAATTCATGATAGAACTTATGCTTTTGATATAATCAGTCCTATCTTTGATTTATATTTGAGCAAATATGACAATATCTGTAAATTAGTAAACCTAACTTATGTTGTAGTTAATGTTGGTGGTGCAGCTCTTTTAATTTTATTTGGATTTAATAATTATTAACAAATTCTTACTGGTATATAGTAAGCTTTTAATGTTCCTTAATGGATGGATAACTTTAATGTATATTGATTAGATTATTTTTAATTCATTTTGAATACAAAATCTAATGTTTTTACAATTTTTATTTCAATAGTATTAGAGATCCTGGGCGAAACTGAAATATTTAGTCATTTGACTAAATCGAAATAGTTTAGACATTTAAAATTAAAAGACGAAATGCCGAAATTCAATATTCCATAGTATTTCCATGAATTTTTTATAGATTTCCATGGATTTTTAATTATAATAATTACTTATAAAAAAAAAAATAATAAATTCATATTAAAATATAATATTTTTTAAAGGAATTTATAAAACTATTATATGTATAATATAATTTCATATATTTTTATAATAAAACCATAATTTTATATAATTAATATTTAAACTTAAAAATTATTACTATATAGTTTAGTCAATGATGAAACCAAAACTAGTTGGTGACGAAACCAAAATTTTTGGTAAAAAGAGTTTAGCCAGGTATCACTAAATAGTATTCATAAAAATTGGTAAATAATTATCTTTTTAATTAATTATTTTATTATTTATTACTTTATAAATATTTTAAACCAAAATATTTCATTTCTAAAATAAAAATATAATGAATAATAATCCTTAATTACTTTAACTAAAGAATATATCAATAATTATACAAAAATACTATAATCTATTTAAAGTTATATAATCTTTTTACTTTAAATATATATTTATTTTAACTTAATTTTAATCAAATTTTGCATTAATTGGCTAAATTACTTATATTATATAAAAACATAATTTATTTAACCAAATACAAATTTGGATTTCTTAATATTTTTATAAAATATTTTACTGAACATAAATAAAATAAATCCAGTAAATTATCTTCTAGTAAATAAAATAAATGGAATTATTTTTAAAAATTAGTTAGATAAAGGAATTGGAACTAATATTAATAAAGAAAAAGCATTTATATTATACCAAATGGCAGTTGATAAAGAACATAGTTTTACTTAAAATAATCTTGGAGTATTATATTTAAAAGGTAAAGGAACCAAAAAAGATTTAAAGAAAGCCATTTATTTGGTATACAAAAGCAGCAGAGAATGAGAGCAAAGTAGCATAATATAACTTAGGTGATTCTTATGAATATGGGACAATTGCTGAAAAAAATGAGTTAAAGCATTTAAATTTTATAAAGAATAGGCCAAACAAGGGTATGTAAATGCACAATATAAAGCTACATATTGTTTTGATAAAGGAATTGGAACTAATGTTAATAAAGAAAAAGCATTTATATTATACCAAATAGCAGCTGATAAAGAACATAGTTTTGCTCAAAATAATCTTGGAATATTATATTTGAAAGGTAAAGGAACCAAAAAAGATTTAGAGAAAGCTATTTATTGGTTTACAAAAGTAGCAGAAAATGGAAACGAAGTTGTATAATACAACTTAGGTGAGTGCTTTAAGTACAGGATTGGTATTGAAAAGAATTACCATAGAGCATTTTACTTTTATAATAAATCAATTGAAAATGGATATGTAAAAGCAAATTTTCAACTTGGATATTTTAATAAAAATGACGACTTCTTTTATAAAAGTGATGATGATAGACCAATAAATAATGATTTAGATATAGTTCATTATTGGTATTGTAAAGCATCAGAAAATGATAATAAAGTCACATTATATAAACTAGGTGAAATATATGAATTAGGAAGGGGAATTCAAAAAAATGATTATAGAGTATTTCATTTTTATGAGAAGTCAGCTAACCAAAAATTAATAGTAGCTTAATGTAAACTTAAATACTGTTACGAGCATGGAATTGGAACTAATATTGATAAAGGGAAAGCATTTGATTTATACAAGATAGCTGCTGAAACTACTAAGGTTACTAATGCACAAAAAAGTTTTGAATCATTATATGAATAAAGGGAAATAATATCTAATTCTTTGGCATAAAAAGTTGAATGAATAAGTCTTAATAATTACTAATTATAACTAGTATTCACCCATTGACTATATCAACGGTTAATATGTATTAAAAAAATGTAAAATAATATCATAATTCTGGCCAGAATTAAATGAATTCCCTTTTTTGGAAATTTAAGGAACACAATTTTTTAATTTCTCTGAAAAGTAACAGAAAATAAATTTCCTTTTTTTGGAATTCGTGTAATTGTCAATTTTCTTTTATGGAAATCTGTATAACCCAAAATTTCAGTTTTTCACCAGAAAAAAAATTTCCTTTTTTGGTCTTGTGTAATATTGGTGACGAATAGGAGTAGGGTTACACAATTTAAATGATTTATTTATATGGTTAATCTAAACATAACGTCTACGTGATTGCAGTGTTTTTTAATATATAGATGATTCTTGATACTGTTATCATCAATCCCTATTGATCTGACTAATCAATAGGACACAGGTTCAGATCATTCAGCTAACGATCATTGCTACGAATATTACTGCGTGTGCAGCCACCAACTGCGTTAAAGATCCCGTACCCTTAGGGAGCTGAAATGATGCCTATCGAATGGTGAGATGGTAGATATGATCATTGGTAGACTGGTATGGCAAGTCCTAGAAATGGTCATTTGACTTCAGATAACCAAGGAATAGTGATTCTGTATTGCAATACCAGTATATATATCCGATATGCCAGATGGTCCTATGGCTCTGTTAAAAGCATCTTGATACCCAATATAGGTCCCTATGGGGATATAATAGTACAGGTGAGAGTACTAACTACCTATGGTGATCTACCAATTTGCGTGAGCCTTAGATACATTACAGTCAGCTCATACCTAGTGTAGTGTACATGGGCGGTGGATTCCAAGGAACTTTGAATAGAAATGAACTAATATTGCACTACGCCTGCCATAAGATGCACAGGTCAAAATGCTAAAAATCAGCAAAAAAAATGGCACAAAAAGCAGTGGCTATTCTTGGCTATTCTTGGCTATTCTTGGCTGTTTTTGGCTATTTGCGAATTAACCTATACTATTTGTAAATAGTTTATATAAATTTGCGAATAGTTTATGCAATTCTAGCTATTTTTTTTGCTTGTTTTTGGTCATTTGACGTGTGGTGGGTACTGGTATGAAAGCAGATTTAGGAGGTCCACGCTATATGTGAGTCCCTAAATCTCATCAGGTAGGACGACTTCTTCAGGCTTCTCCTGAGAGGTTGGGTTTTATCATTAGCTTAGAATTTAGTAGACTATTAGTTTATAACTATTCTTATGTAATGTTATACTCCAGTCATATCTATATCTTAAAAATAAAAATAAAATAAAATAAAAATAAAAATTATCACTGATTTGGTTTGGAATGATAACTAACGTCAGAGATGTTAAATTGAACAATCATGACAAAAAGGCCAAGTAATAAAATGATAAGTGTTTTGATAATATTGTAATGAAATATAAGAGTATCACTAATAATTCTCAGTAGAAAATTAATAATGATGGTAAACAATGTAAGAGTTTTTTAAAGATAGAAATCTATCAAACAAATAATAACAAACACAAAGGTAAAACAAATAAAACACGCAAAAAGTTTACTACAAAGAAAAACTAACAAACAAATCATACAAAACACAATACTTCAGATAACACAATTTAAACTCACTGTTAGATTTACCCAGATGTTAACAGCTTTTATTCAAAAGAAAATATTACTCTATATATGTTTACATTTTCACATAACAGTTTGAACTTATTAATATTATCCTATTATACTAATATGATTAATCAATCAATTGTCCTTTTTTCATTGCAATTATCTGCAAAAACCTTTCTATTACTATTTCGTATAAGTTCTATGTGTCTATATGATTCATCAACTATGTAAAGTTCAAGAAACTTTTCTAGCTAAACTAATAAAGCAATTTTCTATGGCTAAAATAATTAAACTGATACTTATAATTGAATACTTATGAGTCAAAAATAATAATAATACTAAAAGTAGTTAATTAATGTAAATAACTAATAAAACTAAAATATATTATAAAGAAATGTTTCATATTGTAATAAACTCAGCCATAATCATAGGATTTCTGCATACTTCATCATGTGACTTGTTCGATCTTCAACTATTTTTATGCGTAACCCTAACAATAATCTTTGATTAATTCTATCTTGAGCAAAAATTTTGGTAACAATACTAATATATTTTGTCAAATTAATATTTATTAAATTAATCTTATTTAATAATCAATTGCAACTTATTTAACAATAATATAAGCAATTTTAAATAAATTTTTTATTGTAGCTAATGAATTCTGTTATGACAAACTTCGCAGTTAAGAACGAACGTGAAAAAAAATTTATAATAATGATACAACTTATTCCTTTCTGCGTGATAATACTGACGTTAATTTAATTAAATGGCTATTTAAGAATTAACTAATGCGAGCATAAATTACGGTGCAAATAACCCTATAAAAAAAATTCTGGAAAAAACTAAAAAACTCTGATAAATGATCATTTTTCTAGTTATTATTCCGAAGAAACTCAGACACGTGATCATTTTTCTGAAAAATTTTTTATAGGGTAGCTACTTGGTCACGTTATGTTATTATTAATAATGCTGCTTCTATATCCATTAATTTATGCCATGTAAGGATTCTGAGAAAATGTAAATTCCATATTTTAATTGAATTTGGTATGGTACTAAAATATGATTATTATGTCATGAATATAAAAAATCAATCTTGCCGGTTGAATTAAATTTTTACAAATGCGTTATCTGCACTCAAATATATCGTGGATACCTGAAAATCCACGCATCAAGAAGGAATTTCTTTTCTGTATAAAATAAATACAAATAATACAAAATTCGAAAAGTGAAAATACTTACAATTCAGTCCATAAGAAAGAAGTCCAATAAGGCGGTAATTTACGTTAAAAAGTTACAAAATTTTACTTATTTTTTTAAATTTTTTACGCTTAATCGAAATAGTATTCTCAATTTAAGTTTAATTCTATTAAGAGTTGCCTCTTTTTTAATTTTCTAATATAGCAGATAGTATTTTTCCATCAATTCCCTCCCTCTTTGATAGCATCATACATTTCGCTTATTCTTTCTTAATTGTAAAGGCATCTCTGCATTTAAATTTGCAGTTAATTTTGCATATGCTTTTATTATTTTTTAAATACATCTTTGTACAGCATTTATATACAAATTAGCAAATAAAGTATTCTACAAATAATAAGACATATTGGTAGTTAAAATCAAGCTATTTTCATGTCAATGCTTATTTTTATTCTTTTTCTTTTTTTTGTTGATTCTTTTTTCCGCTCATTTTCTATTTATGTTTTAGTTACATCAATATTAATATAGCTTCGGGTGATTTTAATCATATGCATCTATTGATATCAATTCGCGAGTAATCTCATCGACATAACAAAGATTTTTTTGATTAAAAAGATAATTTGTTAAAGCTTCTTTCAGATTTCTTCCTCCGCGTATCATGCTATCATCTATGCGAGACCAAAAATAAATAATATCATGGTCTTCTAGCCAAAAGACTGAATCATCGTATGCAAACACGAGTTTGAAATCAGTAATGCCATACATTTTGGTGAAGAGGTAGATCTCGCCTTTAGTAAAGACATCTTTGTTTGTCTCTTCACGATATTGTTCTTTATCCTTCAATAATCTAATGAGTGATGCAAGATCATTGGTGTTCTGCATGCCATCACCGTTTTGCAATTCCTGCAACATGGTTTCGTTTTTTGTATTTCTGTTATTATTGCAAAAGTTCTGATTGGTAGCTCGGGTATCTGGGACGCTAGATGGAACCATGTATTCACTTCAACACAATTTCCGAACAGCCAGGGCTTTTGATTCTTTACCAAATTCCCATGATTGTCCCGAGGAAAGAGATGGTGATTCTCTAAATCGACTTCCTGTCGAAACTTTACTATTTGTTTTCTGGAACTCCTGTTTTCTACTAGCGACGCTCTGAACGAGACCTTCATGATTTCCTTGTCGTTTGATTTCCACGCCACATTTATTACTGTCGGCCATAGTTGTATCTTCATGTGCATTGGCTCTAAAATCATTATCCACTTCGCTAACTGTTTTAAATGTCGATACAGCCATTCTATCTGATAATCGAATAAAGTCTGCATTGGAGGTTCGCCAATGTTGATTGTATAAAGGAGGGTAAGAACATCCCATGGAGTGGCAATTGGGATCATCACTCCGTCTATTTCCATTCTCAAACAATTCGGTCTCCAACTTAGAATCCAAGGTTCCTTTTTTTTCTCTTCCTTTTTTTTCATTTCTCTGGAATATCATACAAAAATTTAATGTGATATTCTCTTAAAATACGGCATAATTTTTAGGCCATACCTGTAAGGTAGTAGGAACGTTTCGTATAAAATTTCCGATTCTCTGCTCTTTCTCCAAGTAACTCTATAGCTAATACTTATCAGATTTTTTTTTTTAAAAAAAAACTCATCCAGTAAGGAAATGACTTACCTCTTCTTTAATATTTATAGCAACTAGTTGTAACTGTTGTATTGGTTGTGTTTGAGACATGGTTCTGGTGCAACATAATGTAATGCGGAAAATATTATATAAGACATTTATGACATCATTGTGACTCATGGAGGCACGTCTGAAATGTGTGTCAGGTTGAGGACGTAGTGTGGCGCAGTAATTTCAAAAAGATTTAAGTTAAAGATTTTCTTTTCAATGTAAAGCTTTCAAATTTACACATTAAATGTATTTTCATCCGTTTTACAAAATTCACTTATAAATAGAAGGAGGTTTTGGAAGTAGATTTTGACTTTAGTATATAACAACCGATTTTATCGTCTTTGCTGATCATTTTCAAAATTGGATTTGTCGAAAGAACAGTTTTTGTTAAATAACTCGAAAATGGCCTTCTAAACCACCCGTATATGCTCTAAGTAAATTTGCAGAGTGGACAAAAATACATCTAATGCAGGAATTTAAAGGTTTTATTTTAAATAAAAAAAATTGCAATTTAATTTTTTTGGAAAAAATCACTGCGCCACACTGTACTATCAACCTGGCACACATTCCAGACATGCCTTATGGTGAGATGTACGTATTACTAATTTTGAGATAGCCCAATTCCAAAACTGAGTATAACCTGTTGACCGTTTTTATTTTAGCTAATCGAGATTGCCACTTCCAGTAAACGGAAAAGTAAGATAAAAAGCCATGATAGGCTCCACAAATCCAAAAAAAAAGAAATCATCAACACAACAAAAAGGGAAGATCGCTGAAATATCGGTTCAAACAACTTCTGATAACAATTATTTGGATAAACATTTTGCCAAACAATCACGTGACTTGAAATTTTATGATTTTCCAGCTTGTTGGAAAGATAACGTAATATATGAAATGCTTAAACATCAGTAATTCTTAGATTATCTTGGAATCCTTAAAGATCCAGTAATTTATAGAATCCTTAAAAACCTTTAGATGAATTATAAAGATCCTTAAGGATTCTATAAATTACCAGATCCTTAAGGATTCCTAAAAAAAAAGCCTTTAAGGAATTTTCACCATTATGACATTATTTTAAAATCAATATAAAATTCACATTTCTTTTTTTATTATAGGCTTTTAATGATATTTAACAATAAACATAAAAAAAAATCTCTCTGAACTTATATTTGATATATAAAAAGTTAGAAATGTTCACACTTCAGTGCAATAAGGTGGAAACCTTATTTCTTTTTTTGTTTAAAATTATTTAGTTATAGTTGTATGTTTTAATTATAAATTATAGATGACTTGGCATTCTTATACTGGTCAAAATCAATTCTATCAGGTACATATCAGGTACCTATATATCGGTAGCTAATCGGATAAATATTGGATATATTGGGTACCCAATAGCTAAGCTATTAGTCACTGATATTGTATATTGGGCATTGATCTATCTTACACATATCAGACATCCGATATGTAAATTTTAATACATAAGATTTTTATTTTGTACAATATACTGTATTATATATAATCCGTTTCAACTAAAATTTTTTATTTAAATTCATTTTTTAGATAACTTGCTTTTATAAATAATTTTTTAAGAAATTTTAAAAGTCCATTTAAATAATATTAATAGGGATTTTATTTAAGAAACTTTTAGATAGATTTTTGAGAAATTTTTTAAAAGTCTGTTTAAAAAAATTATTTTTTTAATTAAGGAAATCATTTAAAGCATTTTTGATAGAGAATTTTCTAAAGATTTGTTTGGAGAAATTATTTTTGAGAATTTTTTAACTAAAAGGACCATTTGGAATATTTTTTGATAAAGAATTTTCTAAGAGTTTGTTTAGAAAAATTATTTTTTGAGAATTTTTTAACTGAAGGTATTATTTAATAGAGAAATTTCTAAAAGTTCGTTTAAAGAAATTATTTCTTGTATTTTTTATTTAAGGGGATTATTTAGAGCATTTTAGAATTTTCTAAGAATTTGTTTAGAGAGATTGTTTTTGAGAATTTTTTAACTAAAGAAAACATTTAGAACATTTTTAATAGAGAATTTTCTAAGAGTTCATTTGGAAAATGGTTTTTTGAGAATTTTTTAACTAAAAGGATCATTTAGGACATTTTTTGATAGAGAATTTTAAGGGAATCGTTTAGGGCATTTTCAATAGAGAATTTTCTAAGGTTCGTTATTTTTAAGAATTTTTTAACCAAGGAATTGTTTGGAATATTTTTTGATAGAGAATTTTCTAAGAGTTTGTTTGGAAAAATTATTTTTAAAGAATTTTTTAATTAAAAGGATCATTTAGAGCATTTTTTTAATAGAGAAATTTCTAAGAGTTTGTTTAGAAAAATTATTTTTTGAATTTTTTAATTAAGAGAATCATTTAGGGCATTTTTTGAGAGAATTTTCTAAGGATTCGTAATTTGTTTGGAGAGATTATTTTTGAGAATTTTTTAACTAAACATATCCACCGATCTGTAAAATTGGCCTAAATTAAGATTTTTATAAAAATTTAGCTGTATAATAGGATTTACATTATACAAACTTAAATTAAATATGTGTTACATATTTAAACAGTTCAGAATTATCTAAAAATAAAAAAAAATTTTTAATTTATATTTTAAAATAATGATATTAAGCACTTTTTTACTCAATCACTTTTCAATCACTTTTCAGTCACTTTTTCGTTAAGTAAACCAAAAAAGTTTGCAGGTATATATAGCGGTTATTTCTTAAACAGTAAGTAAAAAAAAATATATTAATATTTGTTATTTATAGAAAAAAAATCTTTTTATTTATTTTAACTTTGGTTTTCTTTGCTTTTTTTTTTGTAAAAATATATGTAAAATAAAAGATATAAGAGTTTCAAAAAGTTTTTTCTTTTTTTGTTTAATAAACTAATTTTATACAACTTACTCATTACTTTTTATTATTGTTTTATTAGATTTATTTAATTAAAGTCCTTAAAAAGCAAATAAATTTTTTAAATAAGGTAAAAGAACTCTAAAAACTTTTTGAAAATAATTTTTTTGGTAAGAAATGTAATTTTAAAATATTTTTTATAACAGATTTTATGTGAATTATATAATCGTTAATTTCTCAATGTACATATATGCTAATTGAATAATTTTATATTTATTTGAAAGGTGTGAACTTGCTCTAGCTTAGGAATTAAACAACATTCAAGTTGAATCACTAGATGCGGAGATATTTACGATCAAAGCAAAAAATTGCAAATTAATGCATTGAACACATTTATTTAGCAACCAGTGATTATTTTTGTCTGATTTTGGATTCATTAGATAGATAGGTCTTGTTTTTTTCTTTCAAATGAATATAAATTCATCTGTTTATCTTACATATAGCCCAAGATATTCACAATTTTGTTACAAGAATTGTATTTTCCTTTTATAATTTTAATGTTACTTGTATGTATTAAAAAAAATTAAAATTCAAATAAGGGGCATGCCAGAAATCACGTGATTACCCTACCCACCATATGACTGAATTCTGATTGGCTAAAAAAATACATATAATATATAATATATTATATTAATATATATATATTATAATACAATTAGTTTGCTATCTAATAATCCAATTTACATAAACTTTTTTTTTGTTTTGTAGCCCCATTTATGCTTTATAAAATAAAAAAATCATTGAAATTGGACTACTAGTTGTGAAATAATTGCAAAAAAGCTTATTAATCGATAAATAAATTACTATATATTACATATATATTAGAATACAATTATTTCATTATCCAATAATTCAATTTGCATAAACTTTTTTTTTATTTTGTAGCTCTCTTTATACTCTATAAAACAAAAAATTTCATTGAAATTGGACTTTTAGATGGTGAGATAATTGCAAAAAAAGCTTCTTAATAAATAAATTATATATTATTTACTATAAAAAATATACTATTATCATAAAAGGTATATTGTGATATCTGATTGCAGGATCTGACCCCACCACCCACTAAATCACATAATTTCTGGCATGCCTCTAACTAATTGATTTTGCACATCAGATGATGTAAATCCATCATTGCCACATGACTTTTAACTTTGCATTCATTTGGTAAATCTATTTTGTAGATGTAGTACATAATTCCACAAATTGGTGCTGTTTGGAATATTTTTGATAGAGAATTTTCTAAGAGTTCATTTAGGAAAAATTAATTTTTAAATTTTTTAATTAAGGAAATCATTTAGGGCATTTTTTGATAAAGAATTTTCTAAGGATTTGTTTGGAGAGACTATTTTTGAAAAATTTTTAACCAAGAGATTGTTTGGAACATTTTTTGATAGAGAATTTTCTAAGAGTTTGTTTGAAAAAATTATTTTTTGAGAATTTTTTAACTGAAAGTATTATTTAATAGAAAAATTTCTAAGAGTTTGTTTAGGAAAATTATTTTTTGTATTTTTTAATTAAGGAAATCGCTTAAAGCATTTTTATTTTGAGAATTTTTTAACTAAAAGGATCGTTTGGAATATTTTTTGATAGAAAATTTTTAAGAATTTGTTTGAAAAAATTATTTTTTTAATTTTTTAATTATTTTTTTTTTTTTTTTTTTTTTTTTTTTTTTTTTTTTTTTTTTTTTTTTTTTTTTTTTTT